AATGTTTAGGTTTCGTTAATTTGAGAAACAGCTCAGCCAGTGTTTATTCTCAGCATACACACACCTTCAATTACTTAAAGGACCGCTTGCTTCATTGACACTAACCTCATCGGAAGCTTAGACTCTTGGCCGCCGCTGGCTGACTCAGCCTGCCATTCCTGTGTGGCTGCGTCTTACAAACCCTTTTCCAATCAGCCGTTACCTAGCAACCAGCCCGGCAACCTCACAGCCAAGAGATTAAGTCCCCGAGTGATCACCAGAAGGTAACATCCAAAAAGATGGGTCATTTCAGGGCTGCTGTCCAAAGGCACAGAAAGATGAGCGCAGGGCATCGGTGCCTCACTCTGAAATGCCACAAATTCAAGACAAAAGGAGCACACTGTTTGCTTGTTGACTCAATGTCAGGAAGTCAGGGTTTCACTCCTGCAGGTCACACACGGAGGGAAAAAGAGTCATGGAGATGGCTGGGTCGGGGAGCCACCGGCCCCTGTCCGTTCCCCTCCAGACAAGGAAGTTACCGCACGCGCCAGGGAGGGCAGATCCTAGATCCTGGGCCTACCATCGCACATTCGTCCCAAGCTTTCCTATATGTTTCGCCATCTTCAAAAAAAAGGGGCCAACCCTTGACCGGCTGACACCTCCAACAATAAAGCATGCCTCCTCATGTGTACGGGCCAAAAAAGAAAAGGCTGAGAGAACATTCTAGAACATTCCAGGATGGCGGGCACTCACTGCCCTATGGTGGACAGCCCATACCTCTGAGCATTTCCAGCAGGCATCAGCTCACCTGATCCTTCCCTGTACTCGGGCTACAGCCCACCCCCACCTCGACCCATAAAGGTTCGAAAACTTGGCACACATTAAACCAAACCAATCACCATTGAACCGACTCCAACTCATGTCGACCCCAAGTGTGTCAGAGTAGAACTGTGCTCCACAGGGTTTTCAATGGCTGATTTTTTGGAAGTAGATCACCAGGCCTTTCTTCTCAGGCACCTCTGGTGGACTGAAACCTCCAACCTTTCGGTTAGCAGCTGATATATACATTAGAATGTTAACATTCACACTCCGGGCCCCTCCTCAGAACACCAATTCCATATGCTTGGGTGGGGCCCAGGATCCCCATGTTAAAATCAAACTTCAGGTGACTTCAACCCAAGTAGCCCCAGACCACACTTGGAGAAACAGCACTTCAGGGGTGCCTCACACACACCCCGAGAGCAGGTGGGCAGGGAGCCCAGCACATCTCCTTCCGGTTTCGGAAGGGGCCTAAAAACCAAAAAACCCATTGCCATCGAGTCGATTCTAACTCATAGTGACCCTATAGGCCAGAGCAGAACTGCTCCATAGGGTTTGCAAAGAGGGGCTGGTGGATTCAAACTCCCGACCTTTTGGCGAGCAGCCGAGCTCTTAACCAGGAGCAGACAAAGCCAGAGGTGCCCTCAGGATGCAGGTGGCTGAGCTCTGCAAATTCGGTCTACAGACATCCAGGTCAAGCTGGCCAGCCTCAGTGTGCTGAGAGCAACCAGCCCCTGGGGCCGCTCACTGTGTGATCTTGGACAAGTCACCCACCTGCTCGGTAAGAAGTGACAAGTAACACCTATAAAGGTGTAGGACACCTATACACACAGGTGACCCAGACAGGGGGCTCTCGATCCAGGTCAGCTGTCCGTGATGGTTCTCAGGAAGACACTGGGAATCCCACCACACCCCCGTTCACTTGAGGCCCGGCACCATGACTCTTGCTGTCTTAGCTGCCACCGAGTCAGACTCCGACTCATGGTGACCCCATGCACAATGCAACTAAACACTGCCTGGTCCTGAGCCATCCCTATGAACGGTGGTGGGTCAGACCACTATGATCCATAGGGTTTTATTTGGCTGATTTTCAGAAGGAGACTGCCAGGCCTTTCTTCCTAGTCTTAGTCTGGAAGCTCCACTGAAACCTGTTCAGCATCACAGCAACCCACAAGCCTCCACTGACAGACGGGTGTTGAGTGCACACGAGGTGCACTGGCCGGGAATGGAACTATGTCTCCCACGTGGAAGAGGAGAAAAAGGGCCTGACAACGCCCCCTTCAAGGTGGCTGTGAATCCTAAACGAGGCCACCGATGCTAAGTGCACCCGTCTGTCTCCCAGAAGCTGTCTAGCAGGTTTATGAATGTTGTTCTTAGCTGCTGTCAAATTGATTCCAACTCATGGTGACTCCATCTATCGCACGGTAGAACTGCTCCATACGGTTTACAAGCAGATTGCCAGGGCTTTCTTCCAAGGCCCATCTGGGTGGGTTAGAACCACCAATGTTCTGACTAGTAGTCGAGTGCTTAACCGTCTGTCCACCCGGGGAGCCTAGGTTTATGTAGGTCAGGGAAAGGGGGTCACTTCCATCCCGCAAGCCCCCAAGCACCACCGGGACAGGCGTCACCTTCTCAGCCACCATGGAAGACGAAATCAGAGCGGTGAGGTTGGCCTTCTGCCCCCAGCAGCTGGCCCACGGGGACGAGCAGGGATGCGCGCTTGGGACTGCCTAGCCCTTGGTTCTGGGCAACAGGAGCCAGGTAACCACCGAGCGGCCCCCTGTGACTGCCGAGCCCTGGTGACGAGTGTGCGTCACCCAGGCCTGCAGCAAGGGGCCTGGGGACTGCATTGGAGGAGCGTGCAGGGAGAGGTGCCAACAGGGCAGCAGAGGTGGGGACAGACGCTGGACACCCAACAGATGAAGGCGTGCGGTTCGAGTGCCCGACGGCACCCCGCTTTGTAGGGACCCAAAGGTCAGGGTTGGAGGAGGCAAAGCTCAAATCTGGGGCACACTCAGCTGTTCCGATGGCATCAGGCCATCAGAACACCGACATCGTGACCCTGAAATCGAGGTCACTGCTGGCTCAGCCAGGGGCAGCAGCCGATCCCAGGGTGTGAATGGGCAGGGTGAGGGTGTGGCATCGGGGAGGCTCATGGCTCATCCGGCTGGCCAGAACGGAAGAGAGATGTTGGCGTGGGATCAAGCTGTCCTGGTCCCAGCCACAAACCTCACCACATGCGTAAGCCACCGAGCCAGGAGCTGCCAGAATTGTATAAAATGCCCAGATACCACCAGCAGAAATCACGGACGCAAGCCTCTCGGCACCTCAACTTCCCCATCTGTAAAACGGGCCACATTGCTGGTGTCTACCACCGGGGGACGGTTGCTGGGGGATCAGATAAGTTAACACGGACACAGAAAATCACTCGCCATGGGGCCAGGCAGGTCCTTCCTTGCCCAGTTGTTCTCCAGGCCCAAGAGACAGTGTTGAGGTGGGTGGACAGGAGGAGGGGTTCCACATCAGATGATGCTTCCACGTCCCCAATGACTTCACGAAGCCACCTCACCTCTCCAGGCTTGCGTTCTCTGATCCACACGACTGTCACAGAGATCAAACAGGGTGACATACGCAGAAGCGCACTGGAGTTGAGGGGGCGGGAGCACCTGTGCTCCGCCAGCACAAGCAAACTGCTCACACATCCCGGTGCGGGGACGACTCTTCAAGACTGGGCCACCACGATTATCTCCCAAGGGAGCCCCTGTGAATCGGCCATGAAGGCCACCATTTTGCCTTCTCTCATCTGACACAAAGGAGCTTCCAGAAGATCGACATCCTACCTTGTTCCTCAACCAGTGCAGCTGCTTCCACCCTTAGAAGCCACCCAAACCTTCCTCCCACCCAGACTCGACTGGAACCCTGCCCCTTTCAGCAGCTGTCCCTCCCTGAAGAACCATCCAGAACAAGGTTCCCACCAGCTCTTCCAGCAACGCCACCTACAGAACACACTGCCTAACCAATCCTGAGCCTCAGGATGGCGCCAGGAGGCAGGAAGCACGGGAGGAACACAAGGGCTCTGGAACCAGACCGCCTGGCTTTGGATCCTGGCTCTGTGATGTACAGCTGTGACTGCACTGTGCCTCAACTTGCCCATCTGTAAAGTGGGTTGCTCTGACAGAACCTACCTGTTGGGATGGGTTGCTGGGAGGGTCAGACGCCTTAACCTATGACAAGCGCTCAGAAGTGTAAGAAGTGCAATGCGTTCATGTTTTGTTATCGTCTGCTCCTTCTTGGAGCAGTTACTTAAAACACGTAATGTTTTGTAAGTCATTTTTCATATGTTTATAACCTTTGCCTAGAACAAAGCTTGTGGGTGGATTTTCCCTGTTATAAAAATAAGTAATACATGATCATTTTGGAAGATGAAGAAATTAAAAGCACAAGGTCAAAAGCTGAACACAGAATTACCATTCCCATATGACCTAGCAATCCCAATCCAAGGTAACTACCCAGAAGGAGTGAAGGCAAGAACGCAAACAGAATCCCATACACCGATGTTCACTGCGGCACTTTTCACAATAGCCAAAAGGTGAGAACCGCCAAAACGTCCATCAACAGATGAATGGATACACAAAATGTGGTACCTACACACAATGCATACTACTCAGCCATAAAGAGAAATGAAGTGCTGATACACGCCGTCACATGGATGAACCCTGAAAGCATCATGCTAAGGAAATGTGTCAGTTGCAAAAGGACAAATAGTGTATGGTCTCCCTTGTATCAAATAAGCAAATAGATAAAGACCAAAGATCATAGATGGTTATGGGGGTGGGAGGGAGGGGAAAGGGGGCTTTCTGGCTGGGGGGCATTGGGTTTACGTTAATGGTGGTGGAATGATTTGGAAAAGGACAGTGAAAATGGTAGCACAACTTAAACAATGCAGCGTCACTGAATTGTCCATACAGAAATTGTTAAATGGCAGATGTTTCGTTAGGTATATTTTCACCACAATGAAATTAACAACAAAACAAAGTTAACACCATGGCGTGTATCTGGAAGCTGTTGGGTTTTACGAGCTGGGCTCAGCCCATCTGAATGGCATCACATTCTGTTTCTGATGCTCCGGGGGTCATCCCAGCAGCTCAGTGGACTTCACGGGGCAGAAGCAGCATCTCACCCCACCCTCCAGGGCCACTTACCTTAAACCTCTCGGTGACGCCCTCCGTGATGCTGACAGTGAACTCGGCTATTTTGGGAGGACGCGCCTTGCCCTTCTTGCGGTCCGGTTCATATTCGGTCTTAGTTTTCACGACCACCTTGTCCAGAAATCAGAGAAGCCAACGGTCAGTGGTACAGCTGGATGCATGGACACACACATCACTCAACAACAGGCGTTCTGGGAACCATTTCCTCAGGAAGTAATTTACAAAAAGAATGAGAACCGCCACCACTTATTGGCAATCTCCCCTGTGCGATATTTCCGGAGAAATTACCCATGAACAATTCTTCCGGCGGCTCTAGGAGAGAAATATTAGAACTGAGGGCAGAGGAGTTAAGCTCACTTGTCAAGGTCACAGAGCTAATGCGTGGGCAGGATGGCGACCCAGCCTGATGCCTGACTCCTAACCCAGTGGTCCTTCCACTGCCCAGGGCTGAATCCCAGGGAGTTGGGAGGATGTATGCTGAGGTCTCACTGATGTTTCTACACGAGAACATGGCGGAATACGCTGCCCACTTCACACAAGGATGAGGCCGTAAGAGGAACGGATAAGCAAAATATGGTGGTGTTTGTTTTGATCAAGGAGTCTATAGAAGAACTCTGATCAAAAGGGGGAAAATGTAGAACAGGTTTTAAAATTCTCATGGAATCCAGCTTTCCTGGAGCCATGGAGGCTGGACGAAGCCCTGAAACTACTGTCCTGAGATAATCTTTAAACCTTAAACCAAAAATATCCCCTGAAGTCTTCTTAAAACCAAACAATAGCTTAGCTTAACTAGTAAAGAATATCTGCCTTGAGCATTATGCTCTTTTAAGAACTATCTAAATGGGATCAAATTGACAACAGCAACTGGAAAGATCAGATAGGAACCTTAGGGGGCAGTGGGTTTGTTCATGGAACAACTCAGAAAAGGAAGGTGAGAACTGTTGCACAACTCGAAGAATGTAATCAATGCCACTGAGTTGTACATGTAGAAACTTCAGTCGGTGTGTATTTTTGTTGTGTATATTCTCAACAATAAAAATGAATAAAATATTCAAAACATAAAAATAAATATAAAATAATAAAAAAAATACGGTGTTCTTGTGCGCCTTCGAAATCGATTTCAACACATAGCGACCCTATAGGACAGAGAAGAACTGCCTGATAGGGTTTCCAACGCTGTAATCTTTACAGGAGCAGATCACCGGGTCTTTTCTCCCATGAAGCAGCTGATGAGTTTGAACCGCCCACCTTTTGGTTAGTAGCCAAGCAGTTAACTACTGCATCCCTAGGGCTCTTTTTCAAAACGTGGTCCTACATACAATGGAATATTATGCAGCCATGAAGAGAAACAAAGTCCTGACGCATGATGAACCTTGAAAACATCATGCTGAGTGAAACAAGAGTCGCAAACGGACAAACACCGTATCATCTCGCTTACGTGAAATGAGCAAATACACAGAAACCAAAGATTCTTAGTGGGTCCCCGGACGGGAGGGAGGGTAAGGGGAGGGTCTTCTTAGGGTGGGCATTCAGTTTACGTTAATGGTGGTGGAATATTTTGGAAAAGGATAGCAAGAATGGTGACCCAGCATGGAAAACGTAACCAGTGTCACTGAATTGTAAATGTGGAAGTTGTTGTGTGGGTGGAGTCTGGGTGTGTACGTTTTCACCACAATAAAAAAAAAGGAAATAAAAAATAAGAACACGGTCGTAGGGACAGGCAGCCAAAGAACAGGAACGAGCTCACAGTGTCCTTGCCTCCACTCCCACCATCTTTCTTGCGCCCAAGCCCTCCTGCCCTCTCACCTGCCGCTGAAAGTCCCCAAAGGTCTCCTACTCTTCTGCCCCCTTCACCCTCTACTGAGAAGGGGGAGAGGCTTTTCCAACCTGGAAGCCTGCCCTCGAGGGTCCCCTGCATCCCTGCCAGCTTTGGATGCAGCCCCACAGGTGCCCTTCAAGGCTCACCTCCTCATCGTCACTGCCTGGATCACCCGTGTTGCCAGGGACTGATTACTTCTCCGTCTCCCACTGGGCAGGAGGCCCTGGAGGGCAGTGTCAAGGGGTTACACAGCTCCGATCCCCAAGTCCCGCCAGGGCTAGGTACAGAGAGTGGTGATGGGCTGGGGGAATTGGCTGCCCCTGCTCTTCCTCTGAGTGACAGTGCCCTCAACTGAGTGGCCCACAGTCTGGAGGAGACCCTGCTCCCCGTGAAGGCAGGACCCAGGGCTGAACAGGGAGAAGCCACACATCAGGGCGGGCAACCCCGGGCAGACACTGGAGGGATGCTCACAGAGCTATGGTACCATTTTGCCTTCTATGGTGCTTCACAAAGGAGCTTCCAAAAGATCAACATCCTACCTGGTTCCTCAACCAGTGCAGCTGCTTCCACCCTTAGAAGCCACCCAAACCTGGCTGGAACCCCACCCCTTTCAGCAGCCATCCCTCCTTGGAGAACCATCCAAAACAAGGCTTCCCTCCGCCAGGTATTTCGAACAACACCACCTACAGAACGCACTGCCCAACCAATTCCGAGCCTCAGGATGGCACCAGGAGGCGGGAAGCATGGGATGAACATGAGGTCTCTGGAACCAGACTGCTTGGGTTTGGATCCTGGCTCTGCAATGTACAGCTGTGGCTGCACTGTGCCTCAACTTGCCCATCTGTAAAATGGGTCGCGCTGATAGAATCTACCTCTCAGGGCGAGTTTTCTGGGAAGATTCCATGCCTTAGCACACAGCAACAGCTCAGAACTGTGTCTGGCACATAATTGGGAAGGAATTGGAGAAGAAAGTGGTCCATGCTCTCCCCAAAAAAACCAAACCCGTTGCCATCGAGTTGATTCCGACTCATAGTGATCCTACAGAACAGAGTAGAACTGCCCCATGAGTTTCCAAGGAGCGCCTGGCGGATTTGAACTGCCAGCCTTTTGGTTAGCAGCTGTAGCACTTAACCACTATGCCCCCAGGGCTTCCTGTCCATGCCCAGTGTCACTGAAAAATACCGCCAGGAGCCACGTGCCTTGTGACCACACGCTCGGTCCCTCTTCCCCTCATTTCTCAGCACGCAGCTCGCCCGCCGTGGACAGGGAGGGGTGCTAGAGTGTGAGTCGGCCTGAGCGTTCCCAGGAGGTGCCCGTCTCGTGAGGCAGCGCTCAGGCGTCACACTGCTGTCCTCAAATCCCAGCTATTCCTGCCTTGCTGGGTGACCTTGAGCTTGCACTTGGCCATGCTGAGCCCGGGTGTCCTCGCCCGGGAAATGGAAACAGTAAGGCCTATCTCATCGGCGACTGAGGACGTGGAAGTCCATGGGACCCTCAGCCCGTGTCTGGGCCTGGTCTATACCCATCGCCCAGGATTCTATCCGCAACTGCCACTAGCAGGCTGGGTGACCTTGGGCAAGTCCCTTAAGCTCTCTGTGCCTCCGTTTCTATAGCTGTAAAATGGGGGCAATAGTGCTAATCATTGTCAGGCCACGGTAGCTAGTCACACCGTTGTTGTCGTTAGCTGCCATAGGGTCGGCCCCCTACTCATGGCGGCCCCATGCGCAACAGAACAAAACGCTGCCCAGTCCCGCACCACCCCCGTGATAGGCTGCAGATCAGACCACTGTGATCCAGGGGTTTTTTTCATTGGCTGATTTTCAGAAGTGGATCGCCAGGCCTTTCTTCTTAGTCTGGAAGCTCCACTGAAACTTGTTCAGCATCATAGCAACACGCAAGCCTCCACTGACAGACAGGCGGTGACCGCCCATGAGGCGCACTGGCCAGGAATTGAACCCTGGTCTCCCACACAGGAGGCAAGACCTCTACCACTGAACCTCCGCGGCAGAGCATCAAAGGTATTTAAACCTGTAAGGCACGTAGAATAGTGCCTGGTGTATAATAAGCCCCCAACAAACGCCAGGTAAGCCTGCTGCTAACCCTGCTCCTGGCTCCATGACGATCATCTCTAGGTGCCACCAGCGCCTCGCTGCACGTTCTCGGAATGCATCCTGATTACCACCCTAGCTGCATCACTAGCCCTCGGAAGCCGTGAACATCATCTCCTGGAATCCTGGTTGTGAGCACCACGTTGCTGTTCTGGCTAAGAGAGGTCTCGGGTGAGAGAGGTCTGCCTTAAAGCAGGGAGAATCAAGAGGCACTGGCAGAAGCTTCTGCATCCGGGAGAATTGTAACCATCAGCTAAGTGACCTTGGGCGTGTCCTGGAAACTCTGGAACTCAGTTTCCTCATGAGTCAACTCAGAACTCTTCTAGCTCAACCATCGCCCCCTGCTGGAATTCGCCCCTCTGAAGGATCCCGGGCCCGACGGCTAATTACTCAGCTGCTAACCGAAAGGTCAGCGTTTGAATCCACCAGCCACTCCTCAGGAGAAAAGACCTGGCGATCTGCTCCCATAAAGATTACAGCCTAGGAAACCCTATGGGGCAGTTCTACTCTGTCACATGGGGTTGCCATGAGTTAAAATCGACTCGACGGCACACAACAACAAAGCGTCCCTGCCAGGTAGCCACCCTTTTTGTTTGAATGCCTCCAGGGACAGGACATTCATTACTTCTCTGGGCTGCCTACGGTACTGCTGGACAGCCCGAGTGGTTAGCCAGGGTGTCATACCTGCCTGACATCCTTCCCCCTGGTATAAGCCAGCTGTGGGCCAGATTGTTTGGGAATGGAACGAGTGGAGGGAGAAGGAGGCAGCCCAAGCTGAGGAGGGAATCACCCGATAAGGTGCTGCCTAGACACACAGCGTTCTGGGCAGAGGCGGCCACCACTCCTGGGCTGAACAGCGGACAGCTGGGGGGCAGGGCAGGAGGGGGAGGGGGCAGCAGGGCCAAGCTTCCCTCACTGGGCAAGTCTGACACCTAGAAAGGGAGGGGCCCCTCCCGCAACGCCCAGCCTGGACCGTCACTGCCCAGGGTGGCCCCACCATGGCTGGGGTGGGGGAGGGACAGAGGTGTGACCAGCTCATCCCTTCCCCAAGCTGAAACACCTGGCTGCCAACACTCCCCTGCCCCCGTATCCAAAACACAGACGATAGAGTTAGGGGGTGAAAACCACTTTGGGGAGCTGCCTGAGTCTTTCGAAGAGTCCACAGTGGGAATAACAGAAGCTCCAAACCCCAAGGAATGGCCCATCGCGGGCAATCCTCCCACCCAGCCCCTGCCCGTGAAGCCGAGTCCCAGCCTCTCCACCAAGAACCAAATGAGCCGATCAATACAAAGGCACTTTAGGGAACAGAATGACCGAGTGGTTTTTCAGCAGCAGCAAGGTGGCCAGAATGGATGCTGTGTTTGTGATTTTAGATCTTGATGCAATCGTCTAGACTTTTACACACTCCATTTACCTTTCGGTCGTGAAAATACCCTTCTTAATAAACAGAAACTACCTGACTGGACGCTGTATTCAAGAAAAGAGAGCATTCTTTAAATTCAGCCAAAGCATGCTTGGGGGAAGATGATGATGAATTGTGTTCACAGTTACACCGATGCTCAGGTGAGGGCGGGTCTCGTTTGGATATTTCAGAGGAACAAAGGGAGAAAGTGGCTCTACTGAAGGAGGGCGCACAAGCGCCCGCGTCGGCTGCGGGTCCGGCCGTGCCGATCAGAAAGGGGATGGAGGGCAGTGGAGGCCTCCAAGGAGGGGCCGTCTGGCCAAGGAGACGGCCGTCCCGCTTGGAATGAGCAAATGGGCCTGAAGCTGCACGCCCTCGGGGCACAGGCTGGGCAGCCGGTCAGCCCCTCGGGCCTCCACCGATACAGAACCCCTGATAGGATGGGCCGGGCCAGGGGGCTGGGAGGAGGGCGGGCAGAAGGTGCCGGCTGAGGGGCAGGGACTTTGTCCAGACAAGCCTCCCACGAACAATACGAAGGGGTCTCTTCCAGAGGGAGCTCCATTGTTAGGAGAAAGCCGTCACCTAGGGGAGGAGGGCCCCCCCATCACCCAATCCCAGAGGACGCTGCCTCCCGCGCCCGCGCCTCCCGCCCCGCGCAGCCCAGTTTGCGGCCCCAGCGCACGCGGCGTGCTTCTTTTGTTGCCGCCGCCGCCGCCGCCCGAAATTTGGGGGTGCGCACCCGGCCGCGGGGGCTGCGGCGGGGCGGGGGCGCCGGGGAGCCCCTTACCTTATCAGGGGGCGGGAACTGCAGCTGATTGACGTCCAGGGGCGTCATCAGGGGGATGGTGTCGAAGCCATCCTCCAGCAGCGCCTGCTTGGTGCCCTTCTCCGCGAAATTGTTCCCCAACTTCACCATCTTGTCGGATGACTGAGGCTGCCGCCTACAGAGCGCAGGGCGGCGGGCGTCACCGCGCGCAGGACCCGCACCCCAACGCCGCCCGAAGAGGGGGCTTCCCCGCCCCCGTCGCCCCCGCGTCCCCGGAGCGTCCGCGCGCTCGCCGGTCACCGCCCGATGGGAGGTGGGGTGCTCTGTACGTACAGATCCCACCTCGCTGAACAAAAGCAGCCGCGCAGGGGCGCCCGCGCTGGGGGAGGGGGCGCCGCCCTCACCCAATCCTTGTAGACGCGTCCCTAGCCCCGGGGCCGTGCGCCCCGGCGACCCGCCCGTCCCCCGCGCCCCAATCCTGCCGGGGGAGACCGGCTGCCCGCTCACCGCGCCCCGGCCCGGCGCTC